AATGTTGATGATCAATTCATTGTTTGACTACCATGACTTTCCGGCTTCCTCTTCGGGTCACAGTAGCAAATCTTCCATTCGACTTCATTATACTTTGTATGCTTTTCGAAGTTTTCTAAAAGATGTTCTCTTTTATGTGTGGGAAAAGAGAGATAACGCTCTAGTAACATCAATAATTGAAATATTATTTTCGAACAATTATGTATTTTTTTCTGATTGAAACCGACGACGTATAGTGGGTTTTCCAAATTCAGCTTCACGGTTTCCGACGCTATAGCTGAACTCTGGACACCAGAAGCACCAGTTCTAATTATCGCTCCTTTTAATGTTCATAATTGTGATATACCTTTTGAAAATTCGCAAATGAATATAGGTTAGAACGAAGGATGAATGTAGTTTTTAAATTTACTCCTGATTACAACTCGTTCACATTAAGAGAACGAGGAGCTCTATTCCACATTACATCTTCTTATCTCATCCAAGCTAAATAATTTCTCTTATATATAAAATATAATGAGTATTTTCGTTCTAACAGTGCTTCTTCTACTGCAATAATTTCCGTTTTCACATTCTCTTCTTCACTCCATCTCCTCATCAATATTAGGAACTGTGCAACAACATTCAATTATCAGCATTCAGTTATTACTGTTCTCAACTAATTGAAAAAGAACAGACTTTCATTACTGTTAAAGTTATTTGTATTAGTAATTCGTTGGTAATAAATTGTTGATTTGTAGGGATTTTGAACGGAGATTGTTTTGTGAGTGGGAATAAATAAGGCACTGGACAACGCACTCACAGGGTGGATGGGGAGGGCAGTATGAGAGTGAGTTCGAAAGTAGTTTTACACAAAACATGTTTTCATGATGCGAAACTAGATATCTGTGACTGTACCAGATAATAACTATTAACCACACAACTTCACTAAGGTTTGAAAACATGATGTACAAAATACAAAACCAGGCTCATTTATTGTTCTTTCCAGTAAACAAGTCTTTGCGGTAATGTCGCTGTGTCATCTTGCTCGATTTCACTAACTGACTCCCAATTCCCGCGGTATAAACGCTTGACTCTTTATAACAAAACGCCTAAAGTCAAAATTTGAGGCTCAGATTTTCAATCAATTCCCGAGGTCATGATGATGAATCAGTACATTTTACTTTTAAATTTAAAGAAGTTTATATTATATCTCAGACATAAACTGCGGCTTAATGGAAACAACTAAAACTGTGGCAGCGTATTCTAAAAAGTACAGCAACAGATTTCAGCATAATTTAGTTATTTTTCACAGTTAAGTGTCTGAGAGTTCGAATAGCAATCAGTTCAGAAAATGAAAAATATGTTTAGTTTTATTGCAGAAATTATAGCAAAAAGCTTGAGCGCATGAAGGTTTTTGCAACTAAAATGGCTTGTATGTCAAAACTGACGTATTATTAGACAAATCAGACATTTACTCTCAGTTTTAAAATTTTTCGATTTACTCCTAAATTGGAGGACCCCTCCCTACTTCTTGTACTTCGCGGCGTTCCTGCACAATATTATCAAGTCACGATTTCAATTCTTCAATAGTTATGCCATTTCATTCTTGTATTGTTTTACTGTGTTAACTAATTATTGATGAACTCATATTAAACAACTGTCACTCTTGTAAAAAAGTGCCAAAATAATACGTTGACGTTTTCTTTGTAAAGATGTAAGTGTTCATTAAATGCATAACTGTCCCGGCTAGAAAATGCACACTATTAAAAAATTTCGCCGTAAATTCTTGTAGAGTTTCCTTGCTCTCTTTCTCTCTCCATGGCATATTACGAGCATTCGGTTATACCTTAAATGTCAACCAATTTCTTCTTGAACACCACAAAAACGCTTGATTCCACGCTGATTATTACATTATATACTTTATCCAAAAGGATAGTCCATATTTTATTATTGATTTTTAATAATTCAAAATCTGTGACATTTTAACTGATAATAACTTTTATTCCTTTATAGGAAAAAAAAAGGGTTGTATCGTTCTTACATCTAAAAAGGAAAAAAACATTTTTTTTTAAAATTCTTTTTCTTCAGAACAGAATTGTATGACAACGGTAAACTTTAATTTTGCTTTTTCTGTTGTAGTTATGTTGACTCAAAAACGAGTGTTTTTTTCTTTTTATTTTTTTATCTTTCGTTTTCAGAAAACGTGAACGTATTATTTTGTCACTTTTTTTACCAGAGTAATAGTTGTTTAATATGAGTTCATCGGTAATTAGTCAACACTGTAAAAAAATACAAGAACGAAATGGCATAACTATTGAAGAATTGAAATCATTACTTGATAATATTGTGCTAGAATTGAATAAATTAAAAGTTGATGATAATAATAACGATTTATTTAATAATAGTCTAGAAGAACTTCTCAATGTGTCAGATAACCTTGATATAAATCATGAATTATTTTTCATATATCGTGATACATTGATAACATTGTTCAACAAAAGGAATAAGTTAAATGAACAAGAAATAAAACTATTGCAGAAAATGACTCTTCTCTTTTATTCTATTATGAAAGATGTTAGAGAAAAAAATGTTGAAAAATATAAAATTTTATTCTGTAACAAAACATTTATTGAATCAATAAAATCATACGTTGATGATGTAGCTAAAAATGTAAACCATTTTAAATTGGATACAAATTTAACAAATCTTAATTATATCATACTTGGATTGAACGCTCTTCAAATGAAACAAAAAGAACTGCAAGATGACTCAATATTATTAATATTATTAGATTCACTCGTTAATTTGATTTGTTCAAAATGTTACATTAACACATTCAAAGAAGTTGAATTAAAATCATCATCATTGACCATAGTGCAAACTTTTGTATTACTAACGTGTCCATCTTATATAAGTAATTATGATGGAAAACGTGTACAAGATATTTCGGAGGTAATGTCTAATTTTTTGCTTCCCAGTCAATCGTTGGATATATTACAACGATTTACACCAAAAATATCTAAGTGGACAGATGTTTTCATTCAATACATGTCAAATTTTATGACAATGTTACAATATATCGTATTTGGTGATACTAGAAAACTTTATAGTCATATACACTTGAAATTAATTGATCACGCTCATATTATACTAAATGGATTTACATTGGAAAAAATTGAAAATGAAACACATTTGAGTAATTTAATACTATACACAGTCGTTTATTTGTACAGTCTCACATTTGATCCATCATTATTAACATATATTAAACAAAAAAGTTTTATATCAACCTTATTAAAATTAATCGAAGTAAATAATCATCGCATTCAAGTAAATGCTTATCGTACTATAGCAACACTTATGAGTGAAGATGATGTAAAACGATTAGAAAATCCTGGCAAAATTACACAGGTATTCATTAATTATATTGAGTTATTTATTGACAATATGTACAAGAAGACAGTATTAGAAAATACACTACTAGGATTAAAAAGTAAGTTACTGAAGTCATTTTTTTCAGTTCTATTACCGTTAAATGAGTCAGCTGCTTGTCCAGGTCCATTGTTTATGACTCACATGTAAACCATGGTACAAAATAGACCAAGACCCCATAATAGAAAGACATGTCGCTCTCATGGCAGATTCACAGACACTCAAGTCGGATTTTTTTCCAGTCGTCAGTCTAGTCAAGGCTTTTGATCAGTTATTAAGTCTGGGAAATCAAGTCTCATGCTTTGCTAAGTAGACTGAATTCAAGTCATAAATTATATAAGCCAAAGCAGGTTATTCACGACTCGGCTTAGTCGAAAAATTAGTTCCTTGTCACCTTTGGGCAAATTAGAACGACACGCCCAATAGAGCGGCACCTTAAATGACCTAATCTACTAGGACAAAATAGAAAGACATGTCGGTCTATTTTGTCCCAGGGGTTATTTTAAGAACTTTTGACGGAATAAGATCTCTTCGTCTGGCTGACCGGTCTTCGAATAATAAATACAACTGTTAGCAAAAACGTTTTATAGAGTTTTTCGTTAAATATTGTACGCTCAGAATAACTCCGTTTCGTCGGCTTCGATTACATCGCGTATAATTTTAAAAGATAGGAATTCAAGTAATCTTCATTATATCTAGGTATGTTACAAACCCAAATCCAAGTCTGGGCTTGGGCTTGAGTTTGGGTATTGGGTCAGACTTGGGTTATTAAAAGACTCCTTTTAACTGAGATATCTTCTTTTGTTGTGGATCTTTGAGAAAACAGGATGTAAGATGTTTATTTCGGCCTGTGGGCATACGTAATGCCTGATGCTAACGATAAGAGCTCATTTTGGATTATTTCAAATATCCAACAGTTGAATGTTTTATTCTACTTATCTTGTTCATATCATCCTCAACCTTGAAACAGAGAACAATACTAAAAAAATAAGCACTGGTAACATGCCACAAATATGTTAACAAATGATCGGTGACCACTATAAAAAATGATATAAAAGAATAGGAAAAACTAAAGAAAAAAGTGAATTTTTGAAAGCGAAAACAGCGCCGATGAAGAGAAAAAGATAAATGAATAGTATGGCAGAAGATCGTAAGGTACTACTGATAAGTTTCATTGAAGAAGAATATTAATGTACTTTGGCAACTGACCCAAACCCAAGTCTTAGACTTGGGTACCCAATATCCAAACCCAATACACCCAAGTCGCTTGGGTATGGGTTTGGGTTTGGGTTTGTAACATACCTAATTATATACATTCACTAGCCACTGGAATACAGTATCACAAGATCCACTCCTAATCCTACTTAGACATATTTACGACTTTTACGAACCATCGTACAATAAAGTTTTGATAAAAAGTAGTGGTCCGTTTGAAATCCGTCTGTAAACTACAATAAAACTGAAAAATATTTTTCAGACAGAGTGAGTGAGAAACATGTTTGCACAATATTCCACGCTCAGTATGGTAAAATTTCGTCCTGAAATTTCAAACGCCCACTCTGCGCCTAGGATTTCTGCAAAACGCTTTTCCTTTATTTTATATAATCTTTTTTATCTGATGCAGATTTTTACGATGATCAAACGTATCTTGTTAAAAGTCAAAAAAAGTTTTTGGGCTGCGAAAAGGTGAATTTTATTGTAAAAGTTCACGAGGTAGAATGAGTGGAAGTGTAGCTGTAGTAGTTCAAATAATAAATGCCAGCAATATCTTTTCATTTAAACTTCTGAAACTAAAGTTCTGATATGAAAATAGATTCTTCTCGAAGATTCATTCGTGTCGAATACGATTGTGAAATATGTGATGACCATATTTATTTGAAGGGCAGTTTTTTTAATGACTGTTTTAAATTAATGCTTAAGGGTTCGCCTCTCCCCCCTCAGAAATGGTGATTTTCGGTCAAAAAATCGGTTTTGAGATACGCACATGGAAAGATAGGCTGAAGTGTCGACTTTCAGAATCGGTATCGCTTTTGATTACAAAAGTGGTTTTCGCTGATTTTGAGCGAGTTTTCTAGGAGCCTCAAATAACCGGGTCTTGAAAAAATAGTTTTTTCTGCATACTTACATAATTAAAATTTTTCTGAACAAACAGATTTGTAGAGCAAACGTTTCTGGTCAAAATAGGATTTCTCACAACTCTGGATGCCCTTGCATCAAAAAGTTACTGCCATTTTCCTAAAGTCCTAAAACTGGGCATTTTTTGCACAGCGTTTTCTCTACATGGAAGTTATACCTGAAGTGTGTTCGAAAACTTTTGATAGCGGTTTGTCATGGAGAGTTTATTCTTTTTCTGTTTGAAAGAGGAAATGAAACTACATGGACTGACCAGCGGTGATTTTTAAACTAGGTTTTAGTGTTTTGTCAAACTGAGGATTTTTAGAAAACTCAGATGGAGTTTTCGGGTTTTGGAGTTTGTTGGTTGCCTGGAAAACCAACAAAGGCTTAATTGAAAATTCGGCGCTTGTCAGTCCATGTAGTTAGGTGTCTAGCTTAAAACAAAACAAACCCGAACTCTCCAGCTTGAAGTATATTAAAAAATCTTGGGACACACTTCAGGGTCCTTTTTTGGACCTTGATTTCTGGAAAACCGTAAGACTTGGAGACAAAACATTTTTTTCATTCCCGTAACTCATTGGGCCTAACGTTTATGGAAAGTTTCGTCAAGATCGGATGTACGGTGTCGGAGATAATTTCTGAGGGAAGGGGAGCCCTTAAAGAATACAAACATTTTTAAATGACGGAAATCTTTATTTTTTCTGTGAAAAATGTTTGAACTTAACCACTGTCAACTTATAAGATACCGTTGGCAGTTCAAAATTTCAACGGCAGAATCAGTTTCGTTCCCGTTGAAATATTTTCCCAATCAACGTGAACGACTACAACCACAGAAGCAAGATTCGATCGATATTTTCAATTTTTCTTCCTAACGCTAAAAGGTTAAGGTTTGAGAATTTAGGAATTTGTTCTACAACTCACGTTTTGGTTTGTTTCTCGACCTAGAGTCTATCTTTTAGCTATAGTTGAGGATGGCTTTACGCTCGTTTTCGTTCCGAAAAAAACCGTGTACAGCGACATGGGATACCTTTAATCAGATGTGTGATCACAATTGCGAAAACAATTGCAGACACATTCTGAATCTGGACAACCAAAGAGCAACAAATAAAATAGCCCATTTTGTGATCCTTTTCTATCCAATGAACTAAAACCTTCATAGAATAAAAACCGACTTTATTTGCATGAGTAGATAGATATATTTGAACTGAAATGAGCCAGAAACCGATAGTGATTTTTTGAATACCGCGTTATCAATTTGAGCTAAAGAAATAATTCAAAGGTCAAAATAGCCCACGGCTATGAGAAATATTTCATGCAAAAGTTGACCAATTTGATCAGAGATTGTACGATATATAGCCATATTCTTGTTTTATGTGTGGACGATACAAATTGTTCGAAAACATCCATGTGTACTTTTGTCGTAAATTAAAAGGGTTACTGTAGAACTGTATGCGGACATTAACAAATGTAACTAGACAAAAAATATTGAAAAATCCGTATGATGCACATATGACTTCTGCATGGTAGCATCTACAGTAGGTATGCGCTGAGTCGCGCTACCCGAAAATTAAACTTTTTCTGATGGTTGTTATTCTCAGGCCTCTACCTTAAAGAGGATCCCACACTTTTACTCTATTTTGCATGTTAACTTCGTTTTACGCTTTACGCAAGTAATCTGAACCGTTACATCGCTTTAGCATTTTCGATAATCGAAAATGTCTCACTCTCAGTGCAAAATGAAATTTATCTTATGGCAAAATACTAAAGCGACGTAACAGTTCAGATTACTTGCGTTAAGCGTAAAATGAAGGTAACATGCAACTTCGGGTAGCTCGGTTCGAGTTTTCGGGCAACTTGAAACTCGGTGCATACTTAATCTACAGACTAGCACTGAATGAAGAATAACTAAAGTGGTGTAGTTTCAACTTGTTCTTAAGGCCTATTAGAATCGGAGCTACGGAATATTTCTGTCAGCTGATTCTTTATCTGACGAAGAAAAGTCATTAGCTTTCATACCTGCATCTTAGTCGGCCATCAACGTGAAGTGATCACCTGTTTTCACATGGCAGAAAACCCTATTCCTCTGAAAAGAGCAAATGACCAGTTCTTATCAAAAGAACTGAATAGGGAGACTGCGCCATTCGCACATTCTACAACTTTTGTTAACATTTATTTTCACAAAAGAAAAGGACGTAAACTTTTAATTATGTTCGCATTTCTCTTTTAGCTCTTGCACAACATGATCAGATCAAGGAAGAACTCGTAAAACAAAATGCTATACCTTTATTGATTCGTTGTATTACAGAAACTAAATTTGATGTGATCAAAGTTCAACAATGTGCATTAGAAATTCTATGGGTAATGACATTCAATGAACAAGCTGCTAGTATTCTGAAAAACGACGAAAGATTCATGACACATCTTAAATTCCTGCAGATGTCCAATGAAATTGGTGTCAGAAAAGCAACTAATGGAATTATATGGATACTGGAACAAGAAGCCCAGTTTATAAGCAGAAAAGCGGAGGAAGAAATAAGAGATATACCAGCACACACAACTTCATTATATAAATATGATATTATGATCAGTTATTCACATGCTGACAAAGACTTGTGCTACAGAATACAAGAAAGACTAGTGAGAGACAAATTTCGTGTGTGGCTTGATCGTGATAACCTTTATGGGTCGCAAATGCAAGAAATGGCGGACGCTATCGAAAATTCAGAGTTTGTTTTCATCTGTATGTCTGACACTTACAAACAAAGCGCTTATTGTCAATCAGAAGCTCACTATGCCTATGAAAGACGTTGTCGATTAATACCGCTGAAAGTTATCGAAAACTATCGTCCTGATGGCTGGCTTGGTTTTATTCTTAGCGGTATAGTATATGTGGATTTTTCAAAACGAGACTTTGATACTGCCTATCGAAAGTTGAAGACAGAAATCAATCGTCATCGTAATCAACAATCCAAAAAACAAGATTCACATCACCACATATCATATAGTTCTCCGACTCTTGATAGAAGTGAAAACATATCTCTGAAGTAAGTAAACAGAATGGGTAATTGATTTCGATCAACTGTATTTCTCTTCTTAGTGTCTCACAAAAATTAAAGACATACGAAACCATCCTAATACAACAATGGTCGGTTACAAATGTTGTAGATTTTCTCATTGAAATGAAACTGGATGCGATGATACCACTATGTGAAGATATGAATGGTGAACAATTATATAAAATGTATAAAATGTGTAATGCGAATTCTGATACAATGTATCAATCGCTTAAAGCAGAATTGAACGAGTTACAAAATAAAACATTACCACTCCGAGTTTATATTCGATTTTTAGATACGCTAAAAACATATGTTCCAGAGGCAAACGGCGCGAAATCTATGACTTGTACCCTCACATAATAAGATACATATTTCATTAAAAAAAGTAAAACAGAGTGAGAAGCTACTTTAACCATTAGAGGTAAAGTCTGTAGTGTCTTTTCTAAATAAGAAGTTGACATGATTTAAAAGACAATTTTGTAGTTGAGCACTCTGAATGAGAAATGTGATAATAACAATATTACTTTTGCTCTGTTAAAGGTTTTCTGTTTGATCTTGTTTTAAATTCATCAATATCTACCTCGAACCTTTTTCAAAATGGAAATGTCTAAGTTGGAACCTGATTAGACAAAGCATAAACCATGCCCGCCGTTATACAAGTTGTAAAGCAAAGTAATACGTAGTCTTGAAGTACATAGTCTTTATCAATCAAAGCAACGCAAAAAGGATGAAAAAGAAGTCATGCGATTTTAATTATGTTGTTGCTCATTTTATATACTGAAAACAAAAAAGTTTAATAATAAAGTAATCAGTTCATGATCGATATTAACATTAATACAACAACAAAGTAAACAAGAAATAACTACTGACCTTGTGAAATCGTTTATATTATAAAAAGCTAAAAGGATCAAATTGAGTCGAAAATGCTTATATATTCTAAAGTATAGAATAGAGGTTTAGCTTTTCTACCTATTGATTATTTATTCGCGCACAGAATAAATTACTTTCGAATTGGGGAAATTTTGTAGAGTAAAACTTAATAGGAATTTCGGTTTCAGATCTTAAAAATCTTAAACTCGTCCTCTGGTGTTGACTGTTACATGGTCACAAGGTACATGCATTAAATTAGGTCCATATTGTCATTTCACCTTGTTAGTCTAAATATATTCCTCAATTTGTAAAGTGCATTTATTGATTTGTTTATAGAACAGATAATATGAGAAATAATGTAAAAAGGTTTTGTCATGTCTGAAATTTGAATGATGATACTACTATAATAGTAGTATTATGATTTGGCTGGAAATGTAAAATAAAATGAAGATACGGAGTAAAAATATGATTCTGCTTTTTCTCTGGTGGTTATTCTTTTTTTCTGAAAGATAATTTCGTAGAAACTGCGGTTTTGGATCTTAATTCTCTTAAATTCTTTCTCTGTTGTTGGCTATTACATGATCGAATTGTGGAAATTTTATAGAAAGAAGTTTCGTAGAAAGAAATTACTAACAAATGGTTATTTAGATAACACATTAAAAAACCATCATTAGACTGTAGTTAAACACAGTCAAGCTGCACGTCTTATAAAATCTTCCTTTCTAGAATACTTTTGTGTAAAGAACAACTAACACTTGATCAACACAAGTGTAAATATTCCGCAACTCAAAATGAAATTTTATGTGGTGACTCATTCTCATGTATGTCAATGAAATTACAAGATAGGCTAAGTCAATTATGATGCTGGGCAGAATAGAAAAAAAGACAGTTAAAGAAATCGAAAAATCAAAGAAGAGAAGCACAGTGAAGTCGATTGCGTTATCCGTCCTGCATTAACTTCAAATTATTATTACAATATAAATACTATGCTGACTAGAATTTATGGACAATTGAAAGAAAATAATCTACAAGAAACAAAACCATTTTATAGAGAAAATCTGCACTATAATTCCAATGGATCAATAATTTTAGGATTAATACTTTCAGACATACGAATTTTTTCATGCCAACGAATTTTTTGTAATCAATTCATATTCCTGGCGCAGAAAGCTGGCGGTCTGTGAAACAAAGATCTTTCACAAAAAAATATTCTCCGAAAATGTCACATTCGCTCGAATAACAGTAGGACATTCTTAACGTGAAACACTCTAACTTCTTTTGTCTGTAACTCATTGCAATGAACAACATAGCTCAAAGCCCGAAAGTCATCTTGATCGAACAAACTTCTTTCAGCACTTGACCATTAACATTTGATTTGTTGTGAATCAGATATCTCAAAAACTGGACAGTATCCTTAAAAATAGTCTATCGTAAAGTTCGAGTCGAGTACTCTAAATTCGTTAAAAATTGGAGAAAGGGTGTCTTTTTAATTAACGCTATTTTAATTAGCTAAAAATTGTGAGAAAATCAGGAAAATTTCTAGGGTATCTTTCTGCTTCCGTTGAAAAAAAAAACATCTTTATAATGCGGTGAAATTGATTCTTTGATTTGAAAACGAATATATGAGTACTTATATATGTGTAACTTATATTCATAAACAGAAAGAATACAATTCAGCTTTAAATTGTGTTAGGTTTAGGGGTGGCACTTTCTCTATCCTACTCAAAACTCGTTCAGACTTTCATAGAATGTTCTTCTGCTTGTCCTCCAACTATAATGAATGCATAACGTACATAAATACACCTGGACCGTACATCAGGTTTTTCAAAATATCCATGGTTTTCTAGGTATTTTCTATTTTTCTCCGTGCAGAAATGTTATTATTCAATAAAAATGACCTATTTAGAATCAGCGTATCGAACTGCATCGAATGATATGTCAGTTATATGTTTTTATGTGCAAGAAATAATTTGATTTAATGAAATACCAGATTTGCCGCATCTCCGTAGCAATTCTGGCTAGCCATCAGAATTTTTGCCTTAGAAGCAGCTTGAAAGTCTACGAAAACTATTTTTATAAGTTTTCGTATGCGCTCCTTCCAATGGTGGGATTTACAATGCTCAAAACACCTTCCACGTGCCTAGTCAAAATTGACCACTGTGGCACAGCGTACAAGCACTTTAAAAGCGAAATAAACAATATTCTGAAAAAGTGATTTTGCCATTCAATAGAACTCATCAAGTTCTATCTGGCACACGTATTTCCAAAGATGACACAGCTTTAATAAAAAATGTTAGGCCAGAATACAAAAGTTTGAGTTTTGGTCTCATTCAGAAAACCAGTATTTTTCATTTTAAAAGCGAAATAAACAATATTGTGGAAAACTGATTTTGCCATCTCATATCACCAAAATCAAAAACGTTTTTGCGTTATTCAAGGTTTCTGCGAGTCCCAGGATATGTATATCTCTTTAGGCGTGGTAGTTCCGAAAACGATTGGAAACATAGGTAATCAATCATGCTGAATCTCGTGGCAACATTTATTTTTCAAATAAGTTTCAAAAACCGAATAAAAACCTATAGGAGAGGAAATAACCCAGTTTTGTCTATGCTGGAGTAAAATTAAAAAATTCATAACTCAGTCAAAACCCATCCAGATTATGTCAGACTTTCAATATGTACTCTATTTTACCTGCTCAATGCTGTGGAGTTCAATAAAAGCTATACAAACCAACAGAAAATAGTGAAAAATACAAGTGATGATACTACATGACGAAAAACGATACGTTTCACGAAAATCAAAGTGTCACGTTAAAAAACAAATGCATGAGGAAATCGGAAAAAAAGACGATCGAGCCCATACCTTAACGATTGAAAAGATGAGACAATTCAGAAAGAAGAAGAAATTATTCGACACTGTTCATTAAGCATAGTTCCAAAAGCTAATCGAATCGTGGTTACGTATCCTAAGTATCTGAATCTTTTCACAAAACGAATTGATGTTTGGTTATAAAAAAGGTCGAAAGGTGATAAACTAGATTGAACATTGATCAGCAGGACTTCTGTTTTTTTTGTGCTTAATTCAATAAGCTATTTTTTAGAGTAAGACTGTATTGCTCTAGTGTTTTTTGCGCATTTGAACGTAGCAAATGAATCGCCTCCCGATACTTAGTACCTAAGGGAACTGAGAAAGAAAGGCCGAGATCGTCGACGTAAAAGTGGTGCAGATGAGCCGAAAGAATATAAACTAAGTCTGAAATAAAAAAATAAACAAAGTCGACAATAATGCAGACCCCTGAGACGTACCCCACTCAAGTGGAAATGAAAAAGATCTTAAATTTCCTAAACAAACGTAGGCAGTTCACCCCTTTAGCCAATTTCGAATCCATTACCAGAGACGAGGGTTGACACGGTGGCGCGCTAGTTTTACCAGCAAAGCGTCGTGCTAAACCCTGTCAAAGGCTGACACAAAGTCTACGAAGAGAATGATACCGGGTCTCGACTAGGAGAGAGCAATACAGGCCTGCTTGAGAAGGGAAGTTTTCAGGAAATCTTCCGAACTGCAAGGCTATTTTTTACTATTCTTAAGTAAAATGTCACATTGAGCAGGTAAAATAGAGTACATATTGAAAGTCTGACATAATCTGGATGGGTTTTGACTGAGTTATGAATTTTTTAATTTTACTCCAGCATAGACAAAACTGGATATGTAAGAAGAAGAAGAACGTTTCCGCTTTAACGAAAGAAACGAAAAAGAATAAATTTTCTATTTTAGCGTGAATTTAGTTTTCTATCTTTTTATAGTGGGTACTTTTGCTGGGATCGCAGAAATTTGTGTCTTCCCATGAGCTACTGGCGGAGCTGCTGCATCGACTTTACGAATAGACAGCAGGTAGAGCTTCTTCCTTTCTACTAAAAAACAAGACGAAGAGACCCTCCTTCCGCTTTCATGCTGGGAGTTTTTATAGGATTTCTGATGTACACTGTTTAATGGTGTATTTGAAAACATTGTAGAGCGCTTTCTTTCCATAGCAATGCCATATATTTGCAGAGTTTCGATTCATTTGTTTCGAAGTAAGTTGCTTGTTCTCATGATGTAGCTTAATATATCCCGCTAAATCTCACCAGAGTTCTGATATCCTAACTAGTTTTTAAGATCTTTTCAAAATAATATTTTTTTACGAAATAGTCATGTGTATGTCGGTATAAGAGTAAAAAGAGAGTGTATATGCGCAGAGTGTTCTTTTAGAGAAGAATTAGTTCAACGGATAAAGCAATAAAGACAGAAAATGAATTTATATCGAGTGTATGAATATCCAATAATAGTTGAGTAAAAAAATTTATCAAGAAAAGGTAGAAAAGAATGTAAAGGAATGAAAAAGATAATCTCTATTTCATTTCGCTTAATCTGACAGTCCCAGTTAGGGGTGTTAATTTAGTTTTATTGTTCATTTATAATAATGGATAAAAGTAAATGAATCATTTACACTT